CTCCAGCATAGTCTTTATTGCTATCAGATAATGAAATAAAATCTCTGAAGTATAGGGTTTGGCATCGTAGAGAATGTATTCCTCTTGGGTATTAGTCTTAAAGATTCACATACCTGGGTTCTACTTTTAAGCCATTAGGTCCTCTTCCATGTCTCCAGCAAATATTTCTTGGAGCCCACCATTTCTACCAGTTCTACTGAAATGTTTGCTTGCAAACCTGGGCTTTGCATCTGTTAACAGATCAGATATAGTCAGGTGGCTTGTTTTAATCAGCAGTGGCGTGATTCAGGTCCTCATCAGCTGCATGCTGAAAATAAACAGTAAAAGTTCACTTGGTTGTGACCGTGCTTGAAATAGCCTGTATTCACATTCTGAATGTGAATACAGAAAGCTGATTTCTGAATCAGAAAGCTGATGTGGTGAACTGTAAAATGGAGCTGATAGTGATCGATGAGTGGACCTGGAAGTTCTGCAGAAATGGAAAACTTAGTTTAGAAGCAGAACAGGTATTTTCTTTTAGGCATGTTTCACAATGTACAGGCTGTTTGAATGGATTTTAAATACTTTAAATGCTGTGTCTGTTTCCGCATTATAGGATGACCTGCCAGCTCCTTCCAGAACCACACTTAAAGGAGACTAAATGAAAGCTTTGCAGTGAAGTTTTTAGTTTGAACTCCATATATAGATTTAGTAAACCATAATTTCAGAAAGTCTTAAATTACCAAAGTCTGAAGTCTAAACTTGTGGTAACTAGCGAGTTACTTAGTATCTGTCCCTAACAACTTTCTGCAGTGGATCAGAGCTTTAAAAAGCAATTTAGTGCGGTAGAGCAGCTTTGCACTTAAGAGATTTCAGGAGCTGGAGCCTGAGCTTTGTAATACCGTGGTGTAGGTGCCCCTGTGTCTCTGTGCTTCACAGTTCAACTGCCCATGCCAGTCTGCAGCGGCTCGCAGAGGAACAGCCCTGTCGCATACATGCACAGGGTGACACTCTGTGCCCCAATGGTGATTTTTAAGCCTCTTATCAGTCTGTGTGTACAGAGCGCTGTGGTCGGTGGCTGGTGGTACTGCTTCCTCTCTCTGCAACTTAAATATTTAGTCTTGAGGTTCTGCATTTTTGGTAGGTTAAGACCCTTTGTTTGTACCATATAGCCTTGGTATTTTACGCAGGATATATGGTAAATAATAAAACCTTAGATGTTTCCACCACCGATATGTAAGAGTTGCCAAAGAATCATCTTGATTCCCTTCACCCCCCTCCCTTCCCTTTTCAGTCCAAAAGATGATGCCATTAAAATGGACTGTTACTGGAAATGTGCACAACCATGGTGGAAGTATGAGCACTGCTGTACTTTCCGTCAAGTTAACATTATGTAGATGAAGCAGGCTTGGAGTGGAAATGGATGCTGTCCTTATTCTAAAAGGCGTTGAAGACCAAGATAATGGGTTAATGCTGCTTGTGCGTGCTTGATTTGAGTTCAGTTATCTGAAACTGGGGATACTTAAGCTACAAAGAAAAAATATAGCCAAACGCAACCAGAAGTAAATTCCCTTGCTATAAATAAGTTCTCTGGATTAAAGACTTACTCATTGAGCTTTGTAGTTTTTTAATAATAACTTTTTTCCAATGTATAAAGCTGAGTTTAAAAAATGGCTTTTAAAAAGTATATTCTCAGTTCCTTAAAGTGGACCATGTAGCATGCTGTTCCAAGTACAGGCAGTGCCCACAGAATTTCCTTACAACAAAATGTAAAACAGTTACTTCTGAGATAATTTGCCTCTGTAAAACCTGTTAAATGAATGTCGACTTCCATTGCATCCTTTAATAGTACCAGATAAAAAAGCTTTAGTTTAGATTGAGATATTTGGGCATAACTTTGTTCTTTATGTGCTTCCTTTCAGTTTGTTTCTCTAAATTGATTTTTGTTATAATATCAATGAACTATTAAAGACAATTAAAAATGAACCGGAGTACTTACCTCACAAAACCCCTTCTTACAGTTACATATTAACGTTTTTGGCCTCTGCTGTGTTACACACCCTTTTCTGCACTGGTATTTCTTTCTAAGCTGAGGTAACCTGAATGGGTTTCTTGGGTTACTGTGCAATCATTTGGCTGTGTTTTCCTCCGTGGCCATACATGTACGCAGGGTGTGGAGGGGAACAAGGAACTGATTCCCTTTCTGGACTGGTACTACTTGTATGTATAGCTTGGCTGCCCAGCGCCCCGGCTTCCTTCTGCTGCCTGTGCCTTCCTCTTGGGAATGAGGCGAGAGAGAGCTTTTCAAAAACAAGAAAAATAAAAGCAGCACCGGTGGCTTATCCAGGAGAAGAGGAAGGGACAGAGGGTGTTCGTGTCTGCCTGTGGCACGGGGTGCGGGCAAGCAGGAGCACTGCTGCGGGGAGCCCTTGCCGGGGGCTGCGTAGTCTGCAAGCCTCCAGACACTCCTTTCGTGGTACCGTATCAAGGGCCGCCTGCTGCTTGTAGGGTAAGTTTAAAAAGCCGAAGCAGTATGTGCAGATAGGCCTTTGCTGCTGCTTAATATTTCTCTGCAGTAACAATTTGAATGCAAAGAGAGTACTTCAAGTGACTTGCCTCCTTGCTCTGCCAGCAATGCCTGTGATCAGTCAGCGTGATAGACTCTGCTTTCTGAAGAGCAACTTTGGTAATAAGTTTCAAAATATCTGAGAGATCTGTATTTAATACCTCGTCTTTGCTAATGGGCGAGGGGAGGCAGGGAGGTGAAGTGCTGTGGCGCAGGCTGGCAGCCCGCCCGCCTTGCAGGCTGAGCCTGGGCGCAGCTTGCTCCTCTGTGCTGCCCCACGGACCTGCCCGGACTGTACCGGCTTCGCGGTCTCTCCTTCTG